CCCTGGTCTACAAATTGAGTTCCAGACTAGTCAGGACTACATAAGACTGTCTGGAAAAATACAAAAGAACATTTACAGGTGGCCTGGGAGAATACACCTCATCCTTCCGACAGCCCACTAACCCCAACGCTCTGGAGAAAGGAGAAGTAAACTTATGCGGAAAAAAAATGTGTAACCCCACCTCCACCACCACCAAAAAAAAAAAAAAAAAAAGCTGAGGTTGGAACTGGCACCTAATGGCAGGAAAGGGAAGAGAAAGGTGTAGAGGAAAACTGGTATCTTTCTTATCCTTTTCCAGGGCAGATGAATCTTCCCACCTCCCACCCAGCGGCTAACCAGTTCAAGACAGGGCACGCAGAGGAGGAGCCTGCGCCAGTCAGACGTCCGTGGCCACGCCCCTTCGCTTCACCACCACACACCCACACACACCCACAGCTGGCTCCGGAAGAGCCGGTTACTCCTGTGCCCCACTGTCCCCACCCCTTCCGAGCCCCAGGGCCTAGTCTCCTCGGCAACCTTTAGGCCCAAACCCAGCCTCAAGCCAGTAAAGAAAAGGGTAAGATAGAAGACCACCGGGTATTAGAGAAAAACAGGACATATAATACGTTCTCCCCATCTGGTACAGAAGGGCTTTTATCGCTTTACCCCACCTAGGCTGGGATCTGTCCCTGCTCTCTGAAGAATAAAGGTGGGTTGGGAATACGCCCCAGAGCGTTTTACTTTTTGCCAGGTGTCTTGACATACAATACTTGTGACCCCCCTCCCCGTGCCAAATCTGAACAACAAAAGGCAGACTTCACCCCATGTATCTCCAAACATTTGTCAATCCCGTACAATGTGGCTGGATAGCCAACAAGCCTCCCTCCAAGAAGCTACTCCAAAGAGAGAGGGCCCAACGGTCATTTTATTAGCAACTTGCGAGAATGGTATCTGGGGAACAGGCTGAACCTCCCTCAAAAGAAGCCAGAGGATGATGAGAAATGATGTGGGGATAAGTGCCTGGCACTCCCTTCTCACTCTCCCTGTTCCTGCTGTACCTCCTGACTCTGGGTCAGCTGCCATTGTGCCAGCCACTCTGGAGCCAGATGGCTGGGGCTGTGAGATGGCGGTATGCATCCTAGCTGTATCTTCCCTTTCCACTTCCAGACATCCAACCTTGAGCACCACAGGCTCTACACACACACACACACACACACACACACAGAGTGCCCCTCCCAGCACCTTTAGTTGTGACTCAGAATAGTATAAGACAAACCCCGACACCCATTCTTATAATTTCTGGAGGCAGGGGCACTAGAGAAAGAGTTCCGGGCTCAGCTGGAGTTGGCGGAAGGAGTATTCCCTATTGAAGGTAGGGTAATTATAAAGACCTCCCACTCGCTGACGGCCCTGTAGCAATCCCCATTGGTCCCTTTTCGGCACTCAGGTTGGGACAAGACAATCTTTTGGTAAGGTTAGATTCTCTCATAATACGCCAAAAGGAATACAACCCCCTCCCCTTCTCCAAGTGGGTCCGTGTCCCCCAGATTTAGTCTCCAAATTCCCCAATGGACAGCTCCACGGTAAGCACATAAGACAGTGACAGGTCGTTGGGTTTTTGGTTTTTGTTTTTTTTTCCCCCTCCCTGAAATAGAGAAGGTCGGGCTTCCTTTGCCTTACCCAGCACCCCAAATCCCTTAGAGATCTAGCCCCAGTCCGTTCTGCCGCAACAGCCGCCGGAGCGGAGTAGATCACAAGGTCCCCGCAGCGCCGCTGCCCCCGGCGCCAGGGCTCGGGGGAGGGGCCAGCCCCAGCCGGGCCGAGGGCCCTTCCCACCGAGATCCAGGGGGCGGTGCTCGGGTCCGACCCCAAACTCCGCAGGAAAAGCTTTAGGTGGGACTTAGCTGAACTTGAAGGGTTGAGCGGAGCAGGGCGGACAGCGCCTGTTCACCGTGCGTCGCGCCCCCCACCCCACCCCACCCCCCGCACGACCGGGAGAGGGGTTGGGGTGGCGGTTATCCTCTCCCCCACACACACCCCACACCCCGCCCGGGGTTAGGATGGCGTGGGAAAGCGCTAGTTCCAGAGAAGAGGAGGGCGAAACCTCAGACCGCGGGAAGAGCTTTCTGGAGACGGAGGCGCGGGGGAGGGGAGATCCGGGACCGGAATAGGAGGGGTTCCCGGGAGAGGATGGCGGAGAGGCGTGAGAAGCCTCCGGATCCCCGGCGCAGAGGACAGGGGAGGAACGGGCGAGCGGGCAGCGCGGGGGAGAGAGAGAGAGAGAGCGAGAGCAAGGGCAGCCGGCGCAGGGAAGGTCAGAGCCTGGATCCCAGGGGAGGACGCGGCTACCGGGGACGTCCTGCACCGGATCCCACCCCGCCCCGGGCCTTGGAGGCGGATGCCGGGCCTCACCTGAAGCAGGGCCGGGCCGGGCCGGGCGGCGGCGGCGGCGCAGGTGGCCGAGCCGGGCGGCGGCGCCTCCTCCCCCAGCCCGAGGCCGGCGGCGGGGGTGGGGGGCGGGGGGGAGGTGGCGCTTAAAGGGGCAGGAGCCACCCGGGTGAGGACGAGCGCTCAGGGACGGCTGTCGCTCGCGAAGGCTCCGCTGGGGGAGGGGACGGCGGGTGGCGTCTCCTAGGGGCCAGAACCAGGAAGGATCCCAGATGCAGGAAAAGACAGAAACTTTACGTAGTTGAGGACAGCGGTGGGTCTGGACTGGAGTACTTGAAGAGCTCTCCCTGCCGGCACCGGGCGCCAGCCAAGACTTATTCACAAAGGAGGCTGGGGAGACAGTGGGAGCCACAGAGATTCAAGGAGGCCCAGGGGAGCAGGAGAGGGAGCTCAAGGCCGAGCATGTCGGGGTCACGCACAGCGCCCTCCTAGGTAAACACGCTTCTCCGGGCCCTATCCGTACTACAGCTGTACAGATCTGGAATCAGGAAACCACAAAGGCAAAAGGCACCCTGTCCTGCCAACCCTCTGGATATTGTGGAGGCCACCCGTGACAGGGTAGTGAGGCTGATGCAGGGCTGAGAATCGGCTTTATTCAATCGCTCGGTTTGGCCCCAGCCACCACCACCACCCTTGCAGCAACCTCTGGGGCAACAGGAAGCAGCTGCTCAGTGCAGCCCCGACCCGGTGGTGGGTTAAAGTAGGGGGAGGAAGAAACACTGAGAGAAACTAGGGGGAGGGGAAGCATCTCTTACAAGACTAAGACTGGACTAGTATTGAATACAGTAAAATACTACTTGAATCTCTGCACTTAAATTGGGGCGGGGGGAAGGCGTTCAAGGGTGAGGAAGGAAGCCCTAACCTAAGATACAACCCCAGGCTCTCAGAGCTGGAGCTTGCCAATGCTAGGAGATCTCATGTTCAGCAGCTCACCAGCTAAGCCCCGTGTCCCCCACAGTCCATTTCCCCTCCTTCACCCCTCAAAAGAGCAAAGGTTAGGCCCCACCCCTGCTGAGTCAGCCAGGGAGGGAGCTAGGCATCCCTCAGGCCTTTCCCAGGGGCGGCTATCATACTTACCCATGTCAGGCTGGCGGGACTCCAGATTAGGACCCGGCTTCTCACTGTCCTTGGGTCTTGCTTTAAACGCAGGGTACTGTTAGATCCTGCCCAACTATAGGCTGGGAACTCGAAAAAAACCCAAAAAGCCAATGTATGCTTCCTGCGAACCACACAGCCTGAACTGCTGTAGGGTGATGTCCCTGTATGACAGACTGGGGTGGGAGGGAGGAGGGAAGGGCGGGGCTTTCATTGGGTGGAGAGAGGGAGGAGGCGAGGACAGGGCCGACCAGGAGAAATATGGAGGAAGGTTAGAACTATATTAGTACTTTAGGACTGTGGTTGAAGGGGACAGTAAAGGATGAAGAAAACAAAGAGTTGCAGCTAGCGAGAGAAAAGGGTTCTGTTAAAGAACACGAACCCCAGGATGCAAATGACCTTTAAAATATCAGTTTCCAAGTCTGGATTTGGGTGACAAAGCAGAAAGAGGTGACCTGTATGTACTCTTAGGTCTTCACCAGCTTTTTGCCCACTCCAGTCAGGATCTGGAGGAGGCGTCCCCACCCCCATAACAGCATTTCCCCCGACCCAAGCTCCGAGAGCAAACTACCAAACACAGGCAACTCAGGGGCGCCACCTTCTGTCCTGATCTTGACACAGGAAGAACTGGAGCCAGGGACGTCACAGATGGACGCTCAAGCCTCTAATCCACCCCAGGAACCTCTCCCAGAGCCTTCAGGTCACAGGGAGCTCAGAATTGGGAGTCCAGCTGCCCCTGCCGAGCTCTACCCTAAGTGGAACACCTTGCAAGGTGGAGCTTATAGATGCAGGCTCCTCCCTAGGCCAGCTCCAGCTGGTTTGTAAATAGTCACTAAAAGACAGAAGTACCTCCTTGCAAATAGCCTTTAATAGGTTTCAAAATGGTGAGATTGCAGTTCTTGTAGTCTCAACTGCTTCCACAAGAGGCCGTTGTAGGGCACAAAATACATCTTAGCATAGTGTGCACGAAGGTACACATTTTATGAAGAGGAAGTACTGCTTTTCGAAAGCCCCAATGGCAACACTATAAAAATTGGTCTTTGTAACACCATTAAGTCTTCCAATATTTTTGTAAGAGATCTTCCAGACCTCATATTTTTTTGCCCGGCAGATTCAAACAGAAACATGTGCAGCTAGGCTTATTCAAATATTTGGCAGTATCAGAACTTCCTGAAGAGTAAGTGCCTAGGCAAAACCCGCAATTGTGACAGATATTCAACATTTCCTAAAAACTTAATCCGTCTTGAATAAGCCATCTATCTTCCCCAGGGGGGAAACAGTTTAGTGATACTTGGAGCAAAAAACAAAAATTATCCTAAAAACCAAAGCTGGGCCTATTACGAAACAACACAAAACCCATAGAATCAGATTAATAAATTGATCTTTTGGATAATCCTGTTTCTAACATGACTTAACCCTAAATGTGGCCTGTGAACTCAACTGTAAGCTGTTGAGAAGCAAGATAAACCAGACATAAATGAGGGGTATATACTTTATTGAAAACTTTAAATACTCTTCAGAGAGAACATCACATCTTCAATCAAGGCTCTGTGTGGCCTACATGGAAAACTGAGCTCTCAGCATGGAGAGGTCAGTGCAGAGTGCGGAGTTTGGCTAAAGGGCCACTCACGACCCATGCTCTTCTGCCAGCTTGTCAGCTTTTGCCACAGCTTCTTCAATGGGTCCCACCATGTAGAAGGCTTGTTCTGGGAGGTGGTCATAGTCACCTGCACAGGGGAAACGTCGTTAGTGAGAAGCTGCAACCTTCTGCAGGATGAACCCCTCACCACCCGAGCCCACTGGTCGGACGAATGAATTCTTTTCATGTGAGGAAACGTTTCTTAAACTTCCAAGTGAAATTTACTTTTGGTTTTTTTTTGGGGGGTGGGGGTGGGCTAGGGGTTGGGGTATGTTCCTGGCTGGCCTGGAACTCAAGCCCCTAGAGATCTACTTAGGAGTGCTGGCACTGAAGGTGTGCACCATATCCACCCCCTCCCAAGTGTAACTGTTTTTAATGATTTATTTTGTGTCCAGTTTCTGCATTCATGCAGTGATTATGTAATTTAAGACAAGATGTAGTGGATGAATGTAAGTTTGGGGCTGAGGAGGCAGCTTAACACCGACTACTGCTCTACCCACCTGTATGTAACACTCCAGGGACCTGACACCTCTTCTGACCTCCACTGGCTGTTCCTGGGGGTTCTAACACCTCATGGGATGGCACATACATACCTCAGACACACAAGCACTTAAAAAAAAACACCTGGTCTACAGAGTTCCAGGACAGCTGGTTCTACACAGAAAAACCCGTAATTTGGAGCACCTGAGTTAAAATTCTCACTTTCAACTCAGTGACATGGGACAGCTAATGAAAGGCAGGGTGGTGGCCCCTTTAAGAAAGGTGGAATATGGTATGTATCACTCCATCATGTTAGAACAAGAAGATTGGTTTCAGTTTTCTCTCATTTTTATGGCTAGGCTTGATAGAAAAAAAACCTCACCTGCTAAAATTTGCTGGAATCCTTTAATGGTCTCCTTCAGGGGCACCAGCTTTCCCATGTGACCTGTGAAGACCTCAGCGACCTGGAATGGCTGAGACAAGAAGCGCTGTATCTTCCTTGCCCGGGACACAGTCAGTTTATCTTCCTCAGAAAGTTCATCCATACCCAAGATGGCAATGATGTCCTGGAGAGACTTGTAGTCCTGAAAGCAAGCAGGAGGAAGGACAGAGTGAAGTGCACACTTCTTCAGAAGCGCCAGGTAGCTGTCAACCAAGGCTGGTGTCCTATTCTGCCTATTCAACTACACTAGAAAACAACTGATTTTTTTTTTTTTTGAGACAGTTTCTTTGTGTAGCCTTGGCTATTCTAGAACTATCCCTGTAGATCAGGCTGGTCTCTGCCTCATGAGTGCTGGCATTTAAGATGTGCACCACTACCGCCAGGCTGACAACTGGATTCTAAGGGTGAAGTACTAGGGACACCTTATCAGCAGTATCAATCCATTCTCAACTGACATCGATCACACAACTGACTAGAAAAAGTCTTACAGAGCTCTCAAATTCCTTATGATTCGATGGTGACCACTGACCCCACGGAGACTCACCTGCAGGATTTTCTGCACCCCTCGGGCAACATCATAGTGCTCACTGCCAACAATGTTGGGGTCCATAATTCGAGAGGTGGAGTCCAGTGGATCCACAGCTGGATAGATGCCCAACTCAGCAATAGCACGGGACAGCACAGTGGTAGCATCCAAATGGGCGAAGGTAGTTGCAGGGGCGGGGTCAGTCAGGTCATCAGCAGGCACATAGATAGCCTAACATGAGTCAAGAACCCAGGAGAGATCAGTAGCAAACCAACTCCTTCCTGCTTAAGCCAGCCCTTTTCAACTGCCCCCCTCCCCCCAAATCAAGGTCTTTTTTTTCTTGCCATCCCTGGGACTAGATTAAGCTACAGACTCCCTTATCTGGGTCAGCATACTATGCTAACACTTTTAAGTTTTGCTCTTAAAAAAAATGTTCCTGGCCGGGCGGTGGTGGTGCACGCCTTTAATCCCAGCACTTGGGAGGCAGAGGCAGGCGGATTACTGAGTTCAAGAGTTCGAGGCTAGCCTGGTCTACAGAGTTCCAGGACAGCCAGGGCTACACAGAGAAACTCTGTCTCAAAAAAAAACAAAACCAAAAACAAAACAAAAAAAAGATGTCCCTGCACTGCAACAGCTAAGTTAATATGACCATGAGGGTGCATCTCTAGAAGTAAGGTCTGTTTAGCATTGTTATTTTGCTATTGTTGCCTGCTTGTTGTGTGCCTCGGAATACACAACAAACAAGCAAGATGACAATGAAAGCTAGATGTAGTAGCTCCTGTCTATAATCTCAGCTCATACGATGCAAAGGCAGAAGGATTGCTATGCTGGGAAACTAAGCTGAGTAGAAAGTGAGTAGCCGCGCAGGCAGATCTGACATCAGAAAACCCACAGAGGTGCTTTACTGTCACTGTGCACCATATGCATGAAGGAGCCTGCAGAATGTACAAGAGGGCAGCAGATCCTCTGGAACTGGAATTACAGGTGGTTGTGAGCCACCATTAGGTACTGGGAAAGCACTTGGTATTTTTGGTTTCTCTATGTAGTCTGGTTGTCTTGGAATTTGCTCTAGACCAGTCTGACCTCAAACCTGGAGATCTGCCTGCCTCTGCTTCCTGTGGGCTACCACCACCTACCTACAGAAAATACTTTTAACTATTGAGCCATCTCTCCAGCCCCAGTCAGTACCTTAGAATTACTTGAGGACTGTCTCATTTCTTGGTTTGAGACAGTGTCATGTAGTCAAGTTAGCCAGGAATTCACCATGTAGCTGGAAATAGCTTTGAGTCCCTGATCCTTGTGCCTGTTTCCCATGCGCTAAGATCCCAGGTATATGTATGTAATACCAGGCCCAGATAATGATAAGCATATTTTGTTTCTGATGTAACCTTTACAATCCAGCATGCAAATACATAATTTTACACATTATTTTAACTGGCTAACTCTTCCTAATTAAAAGTACCCTTAGCCGGGCGTTGGTGGCGCACGCCTTTAATCCCAGCACTTGGGAGGCAGAGGCAGGCGGATTTCTGAGTTCGAGGCCAGCCTGGTCTACAGAGTGAGTTCCAGGACAGCCAGGGCTACACAGAGAAACCCTGTCTCGAAAAACCAAAAAAAAAAAAAAAAAAAGTGCCCTTGAGTATGCACGCATTTAATCCCAATCCTTGACAGGTGGATGTATCTCTAAGAGGCCAGCCTGGTTCACACACCAAAAAAAGTTCCAAACACTTCAAGGCTACATAATAATGAGACCCTTTCTCAAACAGCCCCCTCAAATAAACAAATAAACAAGCCCCTTTTGAGATGTAGCAAGAATTTTTTTACTTCTCTGAAACACTGGTTGTTCTGGAACTCTACCTAGAGCAGGTTGGCCTCAATCTCAGAGATCCACCTGCCTCTGCCTCATGTGCGTGCTTGGATTATTAAAGGTACGTGCCACTTCACCCAGCACACGGTGTCTGTCCTTCTCCCCCGACTGAGCATGTTCACCTTCACCGTGTGTGCAGGTGCCCATGGAAGCCAAAAGAGAGCACCAGATCTCCTGACGATGTAGTTACAGATGGTGAGGTGAGCCATCTGACATGGTACTGACAACCTGAAGAGCTAAAAGTATTCTTAACCATGAACCATCTCTCTAGCCCCACATATAATACGGTTTCATCTCCCTGGGTTTGCTTTACCAACTGAAATCTCTATCCACTTCATTCCCTTTACCTGCACGGAAGTGATGGATCCCTTCTTGGTGGTGGTGATCCTTTCCTGCATTGTACCCATGTCAGTGGCTAGGGTGGGCTGGTAGCCTACAGCAGAAGGGATTCTGCCCAATAAGGCAGATACCTGAGAGAAAGAAGTAAAGAACAAGGGTCTTGGGTGTCTATGTCTTTCTTCTAATATGCTCAACTGGTTCAACAAACCAGGCCTGTAGGCCTCGCATACCTCGGAGCCAGCCTGGGTGAAGCGGAAGATGTTGTCAATAAACAGCAGGACATCCTGGCCTTCCTGGTCTCTGAAGTATTCAGCAACGGTCAGACCAGTCAGAGCTACCCGGGCTCGAGCACCAGGTGGTTCGTTCATCTGCCCATATACCAACGCTACCTGTAGAACATACACAAGTCAGAAAAGCCAGCAAGTAATAAGGAAGCCACATAGAAATCCAACATTCCCAGTCAGAGAGAAAGACCACTAATGGAGTCTCCCACTATATGCTAACATTTGTTTGCAAATTTCATAAAAATTCAAAATGCTGAAAATAATTTCTGAACTAAAAATAAGACTGCCTGAGATATGTAAGCGGCTTCCACTTCACACCTTCAAATCAGCTTTCAAAGAACTGGATTACTTATCAAACAAAATTGAAGTCTAGAAATCTCTCACACCAGAGAAAATATATTGATATTCTGGACAGTGGTGGTGGGAGAGTATTTTGTTTACAGAACCTGGGGCCCTGTCACGTCAAATATTAACACAACAGTTTTCTGAATAGAGCTCACCTTGGAAGTGGCATCTTTTAGGTTGATAACACCAGATTCAATCATTTCATGGTATAAATCATTGCCCTCACGGGTCCTCTCACCAACACCAGCAAACACGGAGTAACCACCATGGGCTTTAGCAACATTGTTGATTAACTCCATGATCAGCACAGTCTTTCCAACACCAGCACCTCCGAAGAGTCCTAGGTTAGGAAGAAGTATTTCAGATCTCTGCATTCCCAAATCAAACAGCCTTCAAAAACTGTTAGTTCTGTCCATTTTCCCCTTCTCAGGAATGGCAACTGGCTTCAGCAAACTCAGAAGAACGAAAGTCAGAAGCTAATCATCACCGAAGGCTGTCAAAACACATTCCAAAGATGGTGTTTCCACCCTTTATTTGGAAAACGTACCAAAAACTAACTTACCAATTTTCCCACCCTTGGCGTATGGTGCCAGCAGATCCACAACCTTTATGCCAGTCACCAGAATTTCCTGTTCAACACTCATCTCTATGAACTCAGGAGCCTCGGCATGAATAGGAGCGAATCTGTAAGGTTCACGGAGAAAAGGATCAGTACCTAGTCACCACGCTGGAAAGCTGCTCTAGACTCCGCTGACAGTCAAGTCTAATCTTGTCCAAGTAAGCTGTCATGGAACATCTAACTCTCCACATTAAAACAATTTTGTCTCAAGAACAAACAATATACCTGATATACCTCCCTCCTGATATATCAATAAGAAAATAAAGACCTGTAAATATTAGAAAATCCATAATGTAAGCCATGAACACAAGCTTTAAATAATTAATAGGGGATTCTATGTAGCAGGTTTTCAGCAATCCAAACTTCTCTATCTTTACTTTTAATAACTGAATACAACAGAAATTGAAGTAGTACTGTGGGAAAACTTTGCTTTACTACCAGTTATTACCCTATTGTGTAAAACTGCAAGAAAACCATTCCCGTGTTCACAAATGCAATGAGGGGAACTTACTGTTTGGTTTTGATAGGACCTCTCTCATCAATAGGTTCTCCAATGACATTCATGATTCTGCCCAAGGTCTCAGGACCAACAGGAATTTTGATGGGTGCCCCCGAATCCAGTACTTTCTGGCCCCTAACCAAGCCTTCAGTGCCATCCATAGCAATTGTTCTGACCGTGCTCTCCCCTGTCAGACAGAATGAAGGCACAAAGACGTTAGGTTAAACACCGAAACCTAACAGTATGTAACGGTGATCAAAAGAACAAGCCTCCCTCTCTCAGGACCTGAGTGTGGCTTCAGCAGACTCAGAAGAACGAAAGTCATTTGGGTCAAGTCATCACAGACGGGAGACGGCACAGATCTTATGATATTTTAGCTTAACAAGCCCTTCACCACCCCTAAAAAAATCCTACTCACCTAAATGCTGGGCCACCTCCAAAACCAGTCTGCTGTCCCTGCCTTGCACTTCCAGGGCATTTAGGATAGGTGGTAATCCCTCATCGAACTGGACGTCCACCACGGCGCCAATGACTGCCACGATTCGCCCGGTGGCGGTGCCTGCCTTCGGGGCCGCAGACGCCTGCGCCGCATAGTCTCTGGCTAGGAGACAAAAAGACATTGGACGGCGTTGGTGTTTAGGACAGCTTAAGGTCACCGCAATCCCCGACTTATCCCCCAAGGGAAGGCTAGTTGAGCCCAAAGTAAGTCTCTTGTAAGATAGGGAGCCGCGTGGAGAAGGCCACCCTGCAATCGGGAACCCGCCCGCACTGCTTTCCCAACCTCGTGCACAAAACCGCCATTATTCTTGAGTTTGGTATCCCCATCAGAACCTCAAGGTCAAGGCAGCTGCCCGCCACTTTAACGTCACAAAATGAGACACTGCTGGTTCGATCAACGCTCCCACGGCCGACTGTCCTTGCACTCCGGGGCTGGACAGTAGTCAGATGACCCGGGACCCTTATGGAGCACGGATCTGCTAGGCCCAAGCTCAAGGTCATGGGGAGAAGAACCAAACTCCCTCCTCCAGGAAGGCGCTTACCAGGATGGACCCCGGCGGGAGCGGCTCGCAGTAGAAGCTGGGCAGGTGGCAGCGCCGCCGAAGGGCTGAGTCCCCGCAAGGCCCCGGAGGCCGAGGCCGAGGCCACACGCCCCACAAGACCCAACATGGCGGAGTCCGGGTGGAGACTGAGAGCCGCAGCGGTCCCCGCCGCGGGTCCTGCGGCTGGGACGGGACAGATTCCGCCGTGGACACAGTCATTGGATGATCTTGCTGTTCGTCATCAGCACTGACGCTCCTATAGGGTAAAAACCTCAGATCTCATCATCTATTGGTCTAAACTGATGTCAATCTGACAATCACTTTTTTAATTGGAGAAGCCGCCCTCTAAACCTCGACACCTAATTGGGCCATAGGAACGTCAGTAAGAGAGGGTTTTTGGCGGAACTACGTTGAAATAAAGGGGCGGGGTTCCGTTGAATGTGTGCACTCTGCCGTCTTTGACTGTCCTTGGGCCTTGAGTTAGGTGACAGCCGCGGAAGTTGAGTGGTGGCGTCCTGAAAGTCAGGAGCCTTCTGTGGCCCCAAAACGTGGGGTTTCCGCCACAGTAGTGAGGGTGGAAGTTTCCAGATCTGAAACCTGGAGGCTCTTTATCATTTAAATCCGCCCAACGAAAGAAACTAAAGCAACCCATCCTTCAACAGACGCTCTGCATCGAGGAGAAAAGGTTAACACTCGAGGGGTAATTTTGAGTCACCCAATCATGTAAAGAAATTGCCCTAAGCAGACGTGCTGGCAGAACCCTGTAATTCCAGAAATTTTCAGGCACAGGGTCAAGAGTTCTAGGGGCTAACTTAAGCCCCTTGCGACTCTGTCGCAAACACAAAATGGAAAGTCAGAAGTAATACCCCTTGGCTATGATATGTGTGCAGAAATCCGTAAGGTAAAGCAGAAAGGAAGAATATGCTAAGTGAACGTTTGCCTGAAACCGCATTCCTTCAGTTTGGTTATAGATAAGGTGAAAGAACGACCGTACAGTGAGAAGGAGCCCGAGCCAGGTCTCAAAGGACTTTGGAATAAAAGAGGAGGCTGGCCAGAAGTGTGCCTTACTCTAGGATAGAAAGTCAAAGAATCAATGACATCCTTGCCTGAGATATACTCACTTTATTCAGCGACAATGGGGACGGGGTGGAGCTCTAAAAAGGAAATCCTTAGTCTTCCTCTGAGAACACACAGAGCTGTAGTATTGTACCTTATTACTTCCCATCATCCTTCAGTACTTCCCATTTTTCTGCATGATGATGGAAGTTTCTCCCTGTTTGACAGTGGCAAGCTAGCAATGGCTGTAGCAGGAAAAAAAGGAGAGCACCCATATCCTCCTAGCAATTACATGTATGTGTTGTTGAAACAGAGTCTTGCTGTAGTTCAGACATGCCTTGGACTCAGGCAGTCGTGTGGTCTCAGCCTTCCCATTACCAACATAATATCTAATAGCCTTGCTAAGTAGGGAACTGAGCCCAATGCAGGACAAGATGTTGCATTCCTGTAATGTTAGCACTTCAGAGGTGGAGGCAGTAGTTTAAAGTCACTGGATAACACTGGGTGACAATAAATAATAAACAAAATTCAGAAAGAAAAGAACCAAGAACAATGTCAACATTTGATTCGCAAATAAAAGAAAGAAATACGGGGCACAAGAGTAATAAGAAGATCCAAGGACGTAATGCAAAAAGTCTAGAGGCTGGTCTGGTGAGACGTCTCCATGGATAAAAGCATACACTGCTCTGCTCTTGCAGAGGACCAGAGTTCAGCTGGCAACTGCCTGTAATTCTAGGGATCCAACACCATCTCCTGGCCTCTAGAGGGCACTCATGTGCCCTCTGGTCTCATAGGCACCAGGCAAACAATGCATGCAGGCAAAACACTAACACATACAAATCAACTTGGATCAAGAGTCCGGGCTATGTAGTGAGAAACTGTCTCAGTAGAGAATAAGATGAGAGTGTAGACCAATGTTAGGAGTGTTGTCCTGGGAATGCAGAGGTTGGTTCCTGGGGTCGTCTTCAGTCACTCTCCACCTTGTTTATGTGAATGTATATGGCTGTTTTGCCTTCATGTATTTCTATCCTGTGGATGTGTGCTATCCTTGGAGGCGAGGACATTGACATCCTCTGAAACTGAAGTTATAGAGAGTTGTGAGTCTCCTCTGTGCTCTGGGAATAGAATCTGGGTCCTTTAAAAGAATAGCCAGTGCCCTTAACCCCTAAGGCATCTCTCCAGCCCTTCTCCTCCATGTTTGTTTACTATTAATTATCTTTTGGTACTTTTGAGACAGGACCACACTATATGACCCTGGCTGTTCTGTAACACTCAGTATAGACCAGGCCGGCTTTGAACTCACAGAGATCTATCTACCTCAGGATCCCAAATCTTGGGATTAAAGATGTCCGCTGACACTCCCACCCCAGGTTATATTTTAAGACAAAGTCTTTTCACTGAACCTGGAGCTTACTGTTCCTGTCAGAGTGCCAGTCAGTGAGGCTCCGTGATCTTCCATGGTCACCCACCACTAGCATGGCCCCTCCCCTCCAAAAATAAAAAAGCAAGATGACAAGGGTAGTTTGGTCAATACTTGCGGTTTGGGATATAACTTTGTGGGTACAGCACCGAACCTCACAAAACCAGATGTGTGACACGTGCCTATAAGCCCAACATTGGAGAAGTGAAAATAGGAATCTGGGGAAGATGGCTCACTAAATAATCTCACCGAAGCTGCCGATCCGAGTGGTATCCCAAGAACTCGTACGGTAGAAGGGAAGAAGTAACTCCTGTGCACTATCCTCTTACTTCCATGTCCACCCCCCTCCAAATAAACAGATGTACTTGTAAAGGTGGGAGGATCGTAAACTCAAGCTCATCCTGGCTACGTGAGACCCCATCTAAAACAAGTGCCAGGCACAGGAGCACACACTGTTATTCAGGCAGGCCAACCCGGTCTCTATCTACATAGGGAACTCCAGGCCACTCAAGGCTTCACAGTAAAACTTTGTCTCAAAATAAGTAAATTAACTAATGGATATCAAGAATCCATAAGCTGGGCAGTGATGGCGCACGCCTTTAATCCCAGCACTTGGGAGGCAGAGGCAGGCGGATTTCTGAATTCGAGGCCAGCCTGGTCTACAGAGTGAGTTCCAGGACAGCCAGGACTACACAGAGAAACCCTGTCTTGAAAAACCAAAAAAAAAAAAAAAAAGAATATCAAGTCATGTAAACACCCTAAACCCATTTGAATTTAACAAGTAGGAACTCATTCCACGTGGGGAAGAAGTCGAATTGTCTGTATCTAAGCATAGAACACTGCGAGTTTGTGATCCTGGGGCTTCACACATATTAGACAAGCACTCTCCACTGTGCTATTTCTGTAGCTTCATCTACTCTGGGAGACAGCCTGTGACACCCAAGCTGACCTTAAATGTAAGATTCCCCTGCCTCTGTCTGCTATCACAAGTGCTGTAGTAACAAGAATATGCAAGGACACCCTGAAGAAAAAAGATATCTGAGCTTGGCCTGGCTCCACAGCAACCTTTTCTGTTGCTAATGTGTATGGGTGCTTTGAGTGTTTCGGGCTAGGAAGCCAAAAGCTAGTATCAGATCTCCAGGAATGAGAGTCACAGATGGTTGTGAACCACCTGACATAGACGTTTGGAATAGAACCACGCAAGAGCAAGCATTCTTAACTCCTGAGCTATCACTCTAAGCTTCCACCACCCCACCCCACCCCAACTTTGAGGCAAGGGTATCTGTGATTTGAATGAGAATGGCCCCATAGGCTCATATATATGAGTACTTAGTTCCTAGCGAGTGGAAGTGTTTGAGAAGGATTAGGAAGCATGGTCACTAGGGGTGAGCTCTAAGGCTCTCTGCTATTTCTCCAGTGCCATGCCTGTCTGTTTCCTGTCATGACAGTGGGCTAACATTCTAAAGCGATAAGCAAGCTCCCACGTAAATGCTTTCTTTTATAAGAGTTGCCTTGGGTATGGTTCTCTTCACAGGGACAGAACACCGACTAAGACAGTCTCATTATGTAGCCCTGCTGGTTGGTCTCTAATTTACTGTTATAGAAACAAGGCTGGTCAGAAACTTCAAACTTCCCACTTCTAGCTCGAGAACTTACAGATGCGTATTAACATTCCCAGCTCAAAAATCTTTTTTTTTTTTTTTTCTTGTTAGAGACAGGGTCTCACTGTGTATGTAGACCAAGCTGGTTTTAAACTCACGGATTCAGGCATACCTCTGCCTTGCAAGCTCTTTTTTTTTTTTTTAATTATTTTATGTGCATGTTTTTCTTGTGTTTATCTTTGTTAGAGTGTCCGATCCCCTGGAACTTAGTTACAGTTGTGAGTGGTGCTGGGATTGAACTCAGGTCCTCTGGAAGAACAGCTAGTGCTCTTAACTGCTGAGCCATCACTCGAACCCCAAGAAACCCTTTAAAAAAAAAAGATTTATTTTATGTATATGAGTACACCATTGCTCTCTTCAGAAGATCCCATTACAGATGTTGTAAGCCAGCACGTGGTTACTGGGTATTGAACTCAGGACCTTTGGAAGAGCAGTCGGTGCTCTTAATTGCTCATCCATCTCTCTAGCCCTTCCAAGCAAGCTCTTTGAGACTATTGTCATGCATATGTCTTTCTGCATCTAGAGCAGAAGCTTCTATGGTTCAACTGGAATACACAAGGAAAACAGGAGCCAGACCAGGGCAAAACCTTGATCTTATTTACTAGGTATCATCATACAATTTCTCTATCAGTTTATTTATGAAAGGGCCAATAATGGGGATAATCTCATTGGACTAAGCATTAAACAGAATAGTATATTAAAAACAGTCAAAAACAGTATCTGGTGTATAACCCATACATGTTAATTAATTTTAGTAATTGTTTTACTTTAGATTGATTTAAAAAATTATGCATATGGCTGGTTTGTCTGCACGTGCGTGGTCTGTCCTCTCTGAAGTCAGAAGAGGGTGTCAGATCCTCTAGGACTGGAGTTAGTTATATAGTGCAGGTAATTGAACCCCAATCCTCTGGAAGAGTACTCAGTACTCTTAACTGCTGAGCCATCTAGGGGTAGTTTTATTTTAGGGGCTGGAGAGATGGTTTAGTGGTTGAGAGCTGGCTGGCTGCTTG